GGGTGGGCCCCGGCCCCGGCCGGCTGCGCCCACCGTGAGCCCCGCAGCCCGAGGAACGGCTGCGGGACCGGGCAGAAAAGCTTCTCTGACAAAACCTTTTTCTCTTTTCCTTTTTCTCTTTTCCTTTTCCTCTTCTCCCCCATCAGGAAAGGCCATGGTCTGCTTCGGGAACATGTTCATCGAGCTCCCAAAAGCCCAGACCAAGGAGATGCTGCAGAAGGGTAAGGCCGGCAGCCCCAAAGGCTTTCTGTACATATAGTCTTAACCCTAATAAGATTTTTTAAAAAATAAACAGGGTTCTGTCCAGCACTGGGCTTTGAAAGGCTCAAAACCTACCACTGGCGGTCGCAGGTCCCACTCGGCTGTCCCGGGAAGTGCCCTGAGAAGCACGTTTGGGCACGAAGCAAGCTGGGGCTCAGCCCTGTGGGTAGCGGAGGGCAGGGTGGAACCCCGCAGCAGCTGGGGAAGAGCCCTCTCCTGTCCCCTGGGGCCTGGGCTTCCACACCGAACCTCGGGTGGGAGGTTCAGCCTTCACCCCAGCGCCAGCAGTCCTCACTCCTGTCCTGCTTGTCTCAGACCAGGAACATCTGGATGAGGAGATAAACAACCTCCGGAAAGAGCTACGCGTGAAGGTCAACCGCCTCTTCGAAGCTCAAGGTAAAACACTCCTGTTCTGGAACCTTCTCAAGTATCTGGGAGCAGACATCGTGTGTCAGGAGGAAGGTCCAGAAACTCCTGAGCTCTGTGTGTCCCTGCAGCTGCTTTCCCACAGGCTTTGCAATTCCTGCCCTGCTCCAGCAGTATTGTATGGCTCCTGGTGTGGAGCTGTCACCCACCAGCACGCTAAACGAGGCTCCCGCATCACGCTGGGGTGACCCCACATCAGCTTCCAGGGCTGTCCCTGCCCTCCCCACGGCCCCTCTAGAGTTTCACGTGGACTACTTTGCTTATTTTGTAGCAAAATCCTGATTTTGCTGTGTGTTCTCTCAGGTAAAGCTGAGCTGAAGGGATTTAACCTGAACCCCATGACCGCTGAGGAAATGAAGCTAATCAATCGCATCCTGGAGGGCTGAGGTGGCCGTGCCATCGTCACGGTGCGTATTCGGCCTGTCACCCGTGGAGCTCACACTGCAATAGCCACAGCCTTTGAGGTTTGCAGGAGGACATCGGCGTGCCTGGAGCCCGCCTCGGGTGAGATCTCTGGTGGGTGCTGGAAAGCATTTGGCTCCTCAGCTACGACACTGCAGTTTCCTTGGATCATGAACCTTTTCCTGCTCCTTGCTGCAGCCCAGGTGGTAGAGCCGTGCGGAGGCACGAGCTGGGACACAGCGATGGGCAAACGTCCGTGGCCGGGGTGGAAATGGATTTATTAAAATCATAGTAGTGAGGCTTTCCTAACTCTGTGTGTGTGTTTCTTGTTGGGTTTTTATGCAAACGCTTCTGGAGTTTGGCTTCAGAGTTGGTTCGCTGTCGTGCTGGGAACAGGAGTAGGAGGAATTGGGAATCTGCAGTGTGCCTGAAGCACAGAAGAGGAGTTGTGCGCGCCTGTGGTATTAAAACAAAGCCAAACTATACATCTGAAACATGTCAGGAATCTCTAAGATTTGTAGGGAGGGACAGGGGGAGGCAGCATCCTTTTCGTCTCACTGGGAAAACACGTTCCACTGTTAAGTTGGAAGGCAAGAGACCACAGAAGGAGGCTTTCAAAACTAGATGAAAGGATAAAATGTATGTATATTTAAAAAAAGCAGTCCGAAGAGGGCTGAGCAGCAATAGTCACTGAGCCTGTCTTGTAGGAAAAGGACAATTGATTGATTGGTTTCTTCAAAGGTTTTAACATTTATTGTGTTCTGTGCTACCCTCCTTAGTCTGAACTTGCTACCCCAGCATAACTGGTTTAAGACCATAAGAAAATTTAAAAAAAAAAAAAAAAGCATAATTACTAATGGATTACAGTGAGTTTGATTTTTTTCTGCATACAGGAGAGTGTCTGGGTCCTGCCAAACCTTTCTCTTTTGAACTTCCATAAAGATATTTCTGGATAGAATTTAAAAACTTTAAACATGGTAGTTGTCCTTCTTTCTCCAGCTCTCGAGGTAGCTCACCCATTCTGTCAAACCTCGCATGTGTAACGCAGGGGCCTGATCCCTTGCTCTCTTCCCTTCTGCGCAGCCATGCAGAACTTTAAACAGGGCACCACCGTTTTCTTGGCTCTCTGACCACCTTCCAGCCTAACAGGTCAGAGGTGCCTCCTCCAGGCAGCCTGGCACTGCCTTGTTTGGTTCCACACATTCTTCAAATTACAGAGTTCCAAAAATACCCCATTTCAGACTCCCTAAAACTGAGGCGTGATTTCTTTAAATCTAAAAAGCCAACTACCATGGCTTGATCAAAGTTTTAAAGTTCTCTAGCTAACGCCACATACCCTAAATGTACAACTGCAAGAAGCGAGGCTGTCCAGGCTTAAGTGTCAGATACACAGATTAAAAATAACATCGACTTATTAGCTGAACTATCTTGCCTGTAGCTTTTTCAGAAAATTGCATCTCTTCTGGAAGCGAGCGGCAGTGCACGGTGCCAAGTCCCGGTGTTAGAGCCGCACTCTTACATAACCTGTGTAGTACAGCCAGCCAGCGTCTCCCCAACATGTGATGGCGAGGTTATTTTTACAGTATCATGGCAACAGGTTTTCTGCTCTGACATGTTTCCATAGTAGTACCAGTAGGAGGACCAGGTGCCTGCCTTCCCCAAGAGCTTTGTTTTGCTGTACAGAATGTGTTTAGCCCCTTTATTTTCTTACACTGTACAGAAGTAAGCTCTGCAAGTGCAGATGGACAGCTGAGAAGCCAACATCCCTTGTGTCTTGTGTCAGCCACCATGAAATACTTCAAGTTTCCAAGCTGGGGAACCTTCAGAAGCAGAAGGCCAGCACCTTGTGCTGAGCCAGCAGTGTACCGAGAGAAGTGGGAATTGCTGCTGCCCGATATGAGGAAGAGAGAGTGAACTTCATCCATAGTGATCTCTCCCATGCCAAGCTCGGGATCAGCATCATGCTTTCTGTAGTGCAGGAAGATTCCTGAAAAGCTGCTTCAGTTGTTTCTTCCTGTCATCTTAGCACCCTGCAATGAAAACGTTAACAGGGGAGTTACACATCACCTTATTCTTCCTTCCCGTAGAGGTGGGTAATGTTTCACTTTCAGGTGACGCTGTACTCGTGTTTTGTTAGTTAGAAACTACAGCCAGAGATGATTGTAGGTACACTCAGCTGCATACCGCAGAATAAAGTTACAACACGTCAGCCTCTCGGAAGCATGACTTTAGAATCTGAGTACTACTTCCCAACAGTAAGATACACAACTAGATTCAGGAAAGTGCGCAGCAAACAGTCACCACAGTGACTGTAGAGCAGCTTTTGCAGCAAAGATGGCATATGAAGAAGTCTGCTGTGACTTAACGCTTGAAAAGCAGGACTGTGAACCAAACTGTTCCCACTACATTTACATGCTTCTTTTCAACAGTGCTTCTGCAGCGTGAAATGCTTTCCGCTTTTGGAAAGCATTATTTGCTCCTTTTGGTCTCTTAATCCCATAAGAGTTCACACACCCCTTCTCATTCTTTTGTTCTCGAGTGAAAGGTGTGTGCTCTCCTATGTGCAGACAGCTTAAGGACTCAGCAGGGCACCCTGCCAGCAGTAGATGAGTACACACCTATATGTGTGTTTCACCTAAATGTGTGTTTGTCATTCATGACATTCTCATTCACCGGAGTACCCAGGTCTTCCCCTCCTCTGACAGGCCCATCATTCCGTATCAGGTCACAGCCTCCAACATCAAATATACATACTGAAGTACCTGAGCAATGACAATTATCTGTCTGTGCACAGGAATAAACTCCCAGACAATCAGAGACAAAGCTGGACAGCTGAAAGCAGTGGACATCTTTCTACTATTAATATCTGAGGTTAGCACAGTTGCAAAGTCAATCACAAAACACTGCAAGACAAGCTGCTTGGAACAGAGCGCTCCAGAAGCAGTAAGTGTGGGAGGCACAATGCAGAAGGGCCTCTGAAAGAGACTTCTTGTGCAAGTCCCAGCTCTGACACACACTCCATTCCCTTTGCAGCCCCGTGCTGCTTTGTTTTCCCACTCTGAAGTGGCAGCGTGCTTGCTTACATTGCTCTGTTTCTGGAAACTCATCGTTTAATTGCTATAAAGGTTAGAGTATTATGAACAGTTGCCAAGACAGACATGGAACCAGACTATCCATTCCAAACATTTCAATAAAACCCCTTACAAGGTAATAAACATCTTTGCCCGCCTGCTCTCCCTGTCCACAATACGAAGTGTGTCTTTGAGAAGACGACACTTGAATTCACAGTCTTCCTGGCTACTGGCAGTGAGGGAGGGTGAAGCATTCACCTCCAGAAGCCAGCTGAGGGGATACAACAATAGTAAATGAGGGAGAAACAGGCAGTTTTGCCAGTGGTTCATCTAAGAGAAACGCCTGTCTACAAAATCATTACCCTGCTAGCAGGCAGGAGTAAGTGTGAAGCAATAGGAAATCCAACCCCAAATCTCTTTCCCATGCGCTGAGCCAAAGAACATTCTGAGCTTATTGCAAAGTTTCTATTCCTGTTCTCGATGGTACTAAAGAGAAAAAACCCTCTAGCTTCCAGAAAGACATACAAGTGAAACCCAAAGTCTAGCCAAAGCCGTAAATGCTGAGGAGAACTCACAGAATGAGCATTAACCCTTTTTTAGTGGCAGAATGTGGATGTCTCCTGGGAACAGTTTCCTAGCACAACACAGTGTTCAAATAGCTCTCCTACGAGAGCCCAGCAGCGCTATCTGAGCCCTGTGATGACATCGAGGACTTTCATTCCGATTCGTTTCCTGACCAACTGAAGTTACTCCAGCTCTTTATGTGCAGGCTGCCTAAAGAGTCATTTGGTTTGAGGCTATGAACTGAGTACATTGTACAAATTAGAGCTATCCAGGACCACAGCTGAGCTGCATTTACGTGATAACTTGAAATAAAGCTGTCCCCAGTGGCACCACATGAAACATTGGACTGATGCTGACAGGACACAGAGCTGTAACAGGTATACCAGCTACCATGTCTTGTTAGTTGGAAGAGTTAAAGAATAAATTAGAAAAGACATTTGGTAGGAGAGAACCGTCAACATAAATCATATCTAAGGGAAATTTCCTTACCTATGATACTGCTTGCACTTTACACGATTAAAGCTGAAAGAAAAATAGTCCTATTTGCTTGTCATTTCTGAAGTACTATTTGCTGTTTCTGTTTTTCTCAACTCCTGTAATTACAAGTCAGTTGCGCTCTCGGGTTCCTGCTGTTGCAATACTTGGGTTGCGTATGTAGCAGATAAAATTCTGAGAATTTCAGCTGAACTTTAACGATATATGTTTTTCACTCAGCCAGTGAGAAAACTTGTATTTAAAAAAAAAGAAGTAGAGTCAAATTATGTCTTAAGGGGTTTGGGGTTTTTTTTTGTTTTGTTTTGTTTTTTTTAAATACCCTCAATTCCTGCGGAGTCTTTTTCTCCACAATTGGCAGGAGAGACCTCTTTCAGTTGGGGTCTGCCTTTTAGCCAGTGTACCACAGACATGGGTCATGCTTAGGGCCGGCGGCCAAATGGCACCAGCTGGAGGTTTATCAATGCTGATGGGGCACCGCTGTAAGATACATAAGCAGGAGAAGAGATGATGGTAACATTCCATCTCTGGCAAGTGCTATGGTACTTGTGATATGCTGATACTTGGAGGGGAACACATTCCAGAAATAGCCAAATTGGCAGGGTTTCACAACACAGTTAGAGAGGCCCTACAGACAAAGTTACAGGGTGGTGCACCCAGCTAATAAACTCTGATACTCCAAGCAAAACCAGCTGTATTTCTTCTGGACACCAGCTCCCTTCGTGTAAAACAGTTCAAACCTCTCTACACTTGCAGTTCCGACTGGCTCGCTCGGAGCCAGCTTGCAAGCACCTACATACAAGACGCAGAAGTGTCACAAGACACCACTGTCCCAGGGAAAGTAGCTGGCCTGATACTATAACCCCTTGTATGTTTATTAACACCCTTACTATTTCAGATCCTGATGGATCATGATGTCACAGCTGTAGAGCTCAAAGCAGTGTTTGTCACTGCTGATCACCTGAACGCTCTGGAGGCTGTGGATGAAAGTGTTGTCCATATCCACAAAGAGAACTTCCACAGACCATGCCCCACGCCTGGTGGTCAAGCACTGTCCAAGCTGCTGAATCACCTACGTGCAGCCCTGAGACAACCAAACACAATTATAGGAAGCTGTTCCCAACAGCTGACCACTCATTTAGTCCACAGAATTTTTTTTAATCCTCACCCTGTAGTCTCCACAGCCCAGCAAGAATTCTTACTAAAAACCCAGAGACCAGAAGGTAGGGGGCACCAGCCCCACAATACAGTTAAACTCTTCAAGCATGACAATTGTACAGCTACGGGGAAAAAAGAGCCCTAGATCTCCATCAGAAGTTCCCTAACAGCAATCAACGTCTTATATTCTATCAAGGTATTGCAAAGACTCTCCTTTGCATACAGACAAGAGATTTATAGAAGGGAGCAGCCCATAAAATGGGAAGTTCAACACCATCCTCCATCACTCTTAAGCATTGACCCTCATCTCACATTCATGAGGAATCTGACATTCCATTTAATTTTTTTTTTCTCCCTGTCTGTCTTTCTCTCAGCTGCCACCTCTTGAGAGAGAAAGCTTAACAGTGACAGTTGTGTGCAGCAATGTCAACCTTGTTGTACTGCTGAGGTCTTAGAAGCAAAGGGCTAAGCTGTAAGATACCTACATCTCAGAAGAGTGCTAACCAGAAGGATACTAGGTTTAAAGTCAAAAAGATCAGCCTTATAGATGCACAGACAGCCGCAAAGCAATGGTTAAAGCAGAATGCTCACCCGGCCTCTCTCCTGAAGCTGCTATCAACGAAATCACATTTATGGGTATCAGGAGACAAGGCAGCACAGTTAAGTGGCTGCAGCACACGTTCATGGCATGGCAGCTGGCAGGATGAGGTCAGCACGCTTGCATCTGCCAGAAGAGCTCCAACGGCAGGCAGCAGGGGAATAGTCCGCAGACAGTGCATATCTCACCTTCCTGGGATCATAATCACATACAGTCTTTTGCACTGCCCCATTTGTGAGATGAATATCTGGAATGAAGTAGAGATAAGGATCAAAGACAAACAGACACTGAACAAGCAAATACGGATTTCTCACTCTAAACAGCTCTCTTCTGCCCCAGTGCCAATTAATTATCTTCCCTGTCTGTAACCACAGACTTCAGCTATCTGATCTTAAATCCAATACTGCATGATGATATCTTACTAAAAATTGCAGGAAAAAATTAAAAATCAGAAATAATCAAGAGCGGTATCTGGAAAATGAAAAAGTGACTGGCCTGAGCTAGTACTGTACCTCATGGCTGGCACGAAGCTTTCCATGTCAGCACATCTTCAAACCTCAGCACACCTTCATCCAAGGCAGCTTGTACCCCCAGTCTGGAAAGGCTTTTGATCATTTAGAGCAAGCATGAACTCTGCTGAACTTTCACGGAGAGAAGTGATGGATTTTCCTGTCTCCTAAGCCATCAAATTGAGGTGGGATACCTTTTAGGAAGATGTGTTAATCAAATGAAAACTATCAAACTCAATACAGTAGCAAGTGTGACACATAGGAAATCAAATAGTTCTCTCCCATGAATCACCCTGTCCTTACATTCTGTGAAGCTAAGGAAGAAGAAAGGCTGCCAACATTCAACCACTAACAATAAAACCAGGACTGACATTTCAGCTTCAGTCCTAGCTGATTTGTCAAACTGACATTTCCAGTGATCTGGTGACACCAGTTTTCCAATGAAAAAAGACAGGAGAGAGACAGGGTGACAGCAGCAGCGACAGGACAGCTGAATCCTGTAGGTGTTTGCAGGGGTCCAAAGTGACAAGATTCATCTGATACATCCACTACCAACCGGTAGAATTGTACATTCCTTTTCGTACCCTCCTTTACGGCACACACAGACAAGCAGTACACAGTGATCATCTCTGCTACTCAGCGTAAATTGTGTATTAGAAAAGCGAGCAAATCCACCTCTGGATAACCAGGCCTCCAGTGGGATGTACTGGGAGAAGAGGAAAGGAGCAACTGGGCACTAAGGCAAAGAAATTCATTTCTGGTATAATAATGGTGGATTACACTTACAGATGTCACTACAACATAAACTCTCAAGTCAAACTTTCAACATATGAAGTGCAGAGAAATGTATAATATAATCCAGTCGCTGATATTGCTGCCTAGTGCTAGACCTACCTAAGGTCAGAAGTTTATACAAAAGCACGCACACAAAGTATAAGAAGTCAGATCCCAGATGAAGTATCTGACTATTTGGGAACAGCCACAGTAAAAAACTTGGTTGTTGCCCTGGGGAATGGTGAAGGAGTATTGCACGAGACAGTCACAGGAGAATAGAAGAACAAGTCACCAGCCGAAGGAGAGAATGAAATAAGAGCAAAAAAACCCCAAATACCTGTTGGATATTCCCCTGGGAGAAGACAGAAAGCCGTTCTCACCTTCTTCAATCAATAATATCCTCCAATTTTCGGGAAAATTCCTTCACCTTGTGACCTATCAACACACAGATGGAAGGGCAGAGTTACTGGCTTTAACATTAGTATTTCCTGCTCTATCCCAGAATTTCAGTGTAGAAGCCCTGCATAACCTGATTCATCATCTGATTGTATGCAAGCACATTTATTTATGGGGGCAGGGGGATCCAACAACAGCTCTCTAGTGCAAAAAAGCTCAGATTTGTAAGTGTCAGGAGGATTCCTAGAGGAAAGGGCAGAGCAAGCAGCCAGCCTATGGGTAACTTCTGCAGTACCAAATAAACAAACTCTGTCACATGCTTGCAGAAATATAAGTAACACACCATATGTTGTTGGGAATTCTGTTAAGTCACATTTTAATTAAGTTCTTCTATAACATACACAAATTTAAACAGGAAAGTCATGAAAGCTGTCAGAGAACTATGGAAAGCAAGAGCAGAACAATGCTGAAGACAGCCTAGGCTGCATGATGTATTACAAGTGGGTGACGAGTGGCCCAGATAAGCCACCCCAGAAGCAAGGCTCCCCGGGGCACCTTCCCAAGGACGTCCAGACTCCTGCAGGCCCAGGATGTGGCACTGGGCACATCCTAACCTACTACTGCATCTGAGTGTGGGAGTAAGCAACCTGAGAGTTCACAACGTGGGGCTGCTCAAGAGCACAGACTGACAGAAGGAGTAGCATAGAGCTTATTTTTACTTGTCTGTGAGTTTTGAGGTCAGCCACAAACTATTTCATTTAAGTTGTTGGTATAATCTCAGTAATCACAGGCTTTTCATACATTCTTGTTTAGTGTGTGCTTGTTATTTACCATGTTAATTGAGGTTGTGGGCATAAAATCAGCTTAATATAAGGTTTTTTGTTGCCAATTAACACATTCCCATTTGTGGAGTTAGATAATCACTAGCTGCTATCCTCCTGGCTGTAATTCACATGTTAGTTTGCATAATTACCTCCCATTCACTTCTCACAAGCGTGCCCTTACCGATGGGCCTGACTTGCAGGGTAAGGAGAATCCTCCTGTCCCAGCCTCCTCGCCAGACCTACTGCACAAAGCAAAGTGACTGCTCGCTTGCAGGTCTCACAGATGGGTGTATTTTTAATTATGCACCACGGTATGATACTCATGATGTTAAATGGCTTGAATCATCTGGCAGAAGCAAGGCGTTTCTCAGCCTCATGTATTGTCATAACTTCTAAAGGAAACACAATCTTTCCTTGGTCCCCAGGACACTGGCTGAAATGGAGATTGCTGCATTCAGCACAACTCCACAGCCACAGTTTTGGGGGGAGAAACGTGATTTAAAGCATGAGGCTACCCTTCAGGTCTCTAGCTGCAGAGCGGAGAGGAGTTAATGCCAACCAAATCCACCCCAACGTGCATTCCAGGCTGCTCATGAAGCCTCCCATAATATCTTCACATTCTCAGGATGGAATTCTGCTCAGTAAATTGGCTGGACTTACACGGGCTGACATCTAACAGAGTGGGATTTCCCTAAAACCAAACAGATGTTTTCATAGCTCCATCTTTAGGGGCTGACCTAGAATGCTGATTAACGAGAAGCCCAATTAGACAGCTGCTCTGCATACAGACACCTTCTTGCACACCTGCAGCTGAACTGAAAGATTTCAGAGCATGAACTTGGCCATAACCCCACAGCAAGAACCCCTGGGAGCACAGTCTGTTCCTCCACACAAGAACTCTGCACTTTATACCTTCATCACAGAGTTAAGTTTGGCTCTACAAATAAACTGACCTGTCTTTCCACTGCTCAAATAAATTGTTACACAAGAAGAAGTGTTTTGGTAGTACGTGTTGACCAGGACACCGGCCAGAAGCACTGCTGCTCCCAGCCACCTTGCTCTGCCCAGTTCTTCCTGTGGATTTCCTGCATATTTTCCTCTTCCTCTGCAGAACGAAGGCATCTATTCATCTCTGTCTCACTTTCCTTGGGAGAGCACATACTTACTGGTTTCAGAATCCAAGTGATGCCAGGATTCTTGCAAAATTCTTCCACAAACAAATAGTACTCTGAAGGTATTTTGAAGGTCTTCGGAATAAAGACACATTTTGTTGCCTCAAGCTTTCCTGCTTCTCTTTCTAACTGCTTCCGAAACCTCTTCAGATTCTTCACTAAGTAGTTCTTCTGACTCAGCTGGGTAGAAAGAGAAATTAAGGTTCAGCACAACAAATTCTCCCATAGTCTGACTCACTTTTAATTGCCCTTGAGAAGCTTCTGAGGATCAACTGCACCACATACTCTGAGGAGGAAAAAAAAAAAAAAAGCGGATACCATTGAGAACTACTTTTTCTTTGTGGAGGAAAAGGCTTGCTTTTGATTTTCCCTATCTCTGCATGAACGTGGGGAGCTAGAACAGAGCAGGTCTTACAATCCATGTTTTACCATTTCTGATGTAGCCTCCCCATGCAGTCAGCACACTCCCCTCCAGGCCAGGCAGCATTAACCTGACTTTTACCCCAAAAGGCTGCAGCAGCCCAGCCCCACTGCTCCTGAACTGCCACAGGTTACGGCCCAGTGTCACAAACCGCCTTCAGCCTCCGTTCATGCCATAGCCGGTGCGTGTGAAGGCCCAGAGCAGGGACGCATCCTGCCCAGCCACCCGTGCTGTGGTGGAAGCAACACCCTGGAGAGGACGGGGCAGTGAGAGTTTTACCCGTCGCAACTAAACCTGCCCACGGATACAAAAAAGATTCAGAGGCCCTATGGCAACACGCTATCCTCAGGCGGTTTTAAGGCCGTTACCCCCCACCCGCCACCGGGGCCTGGGCCTGGGCCTGCTCCCGCCAGGACGCGCCCGTCCCCATGGCAACCGCGCCGCTGCGCAGCAGGGGGCGCCCGCGGGACCGCAACCCTGACACTGCCGCCCCCCTCCCCGGCCTGATCCCACCCCC